AAGTGTTTCAGCCATTCTGTGGTTTATCTGCGCCAAACGCATTACAAACATGCCAAAACGCACATCGTGAAGAGCGCTTGATCAGCAAAGGGCTGCGCTTCCCATAGCCGCTAGCCTCAGCTTTGATTGCTTGGTCCTCTCCAAATCAGCTGTGAGCCTTAGCATTTCGCTAATGTTAGCTTAGTACCATCTGACCGTCCCTCAAAAGTTTGGTGGTAGCAAGTGCTCCATCCTCCACAATTCAGGGTACTCAAGGCCGAGACAAACCTTGCGAAGGGACATGTAATTTCCGCTGGGCGACAAGAGGAGGTCTCCTTGGCATCAGATCCGCTCTGAAGGGCGGTGACCATGGAAAACACCGAGCCAGCTGAAGCGGTTGAGGGGGAGATCACTGACATGTACTGAAATGCCAACCAAAACCGCAAAAAGTTTGAGGCGGTCTTGATTCTTCACACCTACCATTTTGGGAGCGATGAAACTCAACCCTTGTGCACTTTCGTCACTCCCTGATCTCCCTGATGCGCACAGCATCCGATCCCATTGATGCTCTCTGCAAAGGTGAAGCTGGCGTGAGGCGCGCGCAAGTTGACAGGCCAAGCGATCACCTCTTGAAAGGCAGCCTCGCAGCCTGGCAAGTCAATCGAACGCCACTCGGAACTTACTCGTTTCAGATCATTTCAGTATTGCAGCAATTTGGAACTTGGAGGAAGCGCTTTCTCGTCTTGCTTAACACTAAGAGTCTGTAGGCAAAACAAGTACGTGAGCCAGTGAGGGCGCTCACCCAGTGGAAAGTTGGCATCTCTCCTTGCTTTATAGTCTCTCAAATCCCGCCACCCGCAAGCAGCATGTTTGTATTATTAGATCAACTACAGCGGTACCCGCCCTTTTTTGAAAGCCCCAAGGCTCCAGCCTCTACGAGACCCCCTTCGCGCCTCCACTCATCAATAGAAAGCCAGCGTCAGCGTCCGCAGAAAGGGCAACAGGGCCTCCACCTCAATGTTTATCCACGTCTGGCAGCTATATTCGCAATCCGACCACCAATCTCACGCTTCTCACGTACTGGCAAAGCTCTTGAAGCCAACATGTCAAGCGCACTGCGATTCAACAGTTTTGAGGGTGGAGTGTATCACGTTGAAAGCATCATGGCCCGCAATGGATGTTCACCAATAAAACCATGTGAAAGCCCAAGGGCCTTATGGCTCCAATGAAACCCAAGAGAGAAACAAAGGTCCTACAAACAGACCTACGAAGTCACTTTTTCAGTGGTAGCGGAGCAGTGGTCGAGCTCCAGATCCTAGCTGGGCTGGACAAATGACTGCGACGAGCCTGGTACAGATATTGCTTGTGAACCACAAACGCTTGCCAATAGGCATGTGAGGAGAGAACCAGCAAAAGTGCTACGACAACCTACTGTAAGTGACAAGAAAGGTGCCTCCAGCATACGACCGAAAACAGTCACGGTTTTCTTATGAGGACGCCATAAACGATTACGATTGGTGTGGCATCACAGAGTTAGAGAAAGAGACAAGAGGGCCTGCATTGAGAAACCGGATAGAAGGAGAAGCAGCCGCACACAACCGTGTTCTGGATCGAGCAATGTTGAAGGCAAATCATCCTCCAGGTGGAGTGTAGTACTTCAAGAGCATGTTACGGCCATACTTCATGAAAGGTGCGACCAACGTGTTCATGTATAGGTTCATGCAGTTCATGAAGTTCAATAGAGGTTCTGCAGGTATGATGAAGTGGATGACCAGATTCCAGATCCTGTTCCAAAGGCTGATGAGCAGTTGGACGGAGTAGTTGCGGCCGAGACAGCCACCCTGAAGATCGTTTTTCTCGCGCCTGCTCAGATGCACTTCAGTGCAGTGCGGATATAGTATCAGTTTCTGTGAGCAGTATGTTGCATACTCCCCGGACAATGAAGTCTCACAGCTTGAAAGCTCAAGCACTCCTACGTCTCCGAAAAGACGCTCGGCTAGAGAACTCTACCTTCAGCAGGCGAAGATAAAATTAATCGGCCCTCTTCACTCCTACGCCATACGACTTCAAAAGTTGAATTCAAGAGGTCAGGATATTTTCTCCTCTGCGCTGCGGCCTCGCGCAAGCACAAAGGAAAAAGAATAGCGATACGACGCTCTGTGTATGGAGTGTGTTATGAACTTGTTCCTAGCCGCTAGCCTATCGTCTAGCTTTTGTAATGAATCTACCGATTAGGTAGATGCCTTCAAACACCAGCGTTTGTCTTCTGCTGGTTTGGCCCATACAAATCAGGCACAGAACAGCAGGTTCTTGAGGGCCTGGCTGTCAAGCTGCCTTGACGCGGCGACATAAACTGAACGCAGCTCATTGGTTGCAGGCCACACCGTCGCATGGCCATAGCCATCTCCTTTGGCATCAAAATAGCAAGTGGAATGCAGTCAAAGCCAGCAAGCAAGCAAGCAAGCAAGCAAAAGCATGACAGCTTAAAACTGCCAACGAATAAGTGCAATGTGTCAGGAATCGTGCTTGGAAGTCAGCCATGCAAAGAGTAAGAAAACTTCTTCGGGGCCACGAGCACTTGGCATAGTCAAGTAGCCTCCTTGATGTACCACTGGCTCCAGCCTTTCACCAATGAGTAGAGTAGAGCTACTCAGCTACTCCAAGCCATACAACTGCCAAGGCTCCACCCAGAAGACAGTTCCCATCCGGAGAGAAGCGCAGCGTTCAAACCGGCCAGCTTGCCCTAGTCCTGTCAGACGCGTTTTTCTCCAGAGACCCGAATAATCTTGGTAGGCAGGCATCAACAACATAACCTGAAACAGCGTGATTAGCTTAGTTGATTTATGGGGAAACTGATCAGAAATGGCAGGGAAATTGCGCGATTGAAACGCGTGGAGTTGTTCATAGGTCTTCAGTAGGACAGGTCTTCTCCCTCTCCCCAAGCTTTGTGTCGTCAAAACGGAACCCAAACTGCCACAAGCGTCTTCGAATGGGTGAAGTTTAGCGCCCAATGTCTTCGCTTCAAGTCGGCTTCTCCTTTTGAGAGCTTGGCCGTCCCTTAGCAAAAAACATAAAAAGGGAGATCGATATGTGGCCGGGAACCAGTCAGCACCAGTTCGATCCCGAGATCTCGTGGCAGTGGTCGACTGCTCGCCTTCGTTGGATCGACGACTCCATGGCTTCGACGCGCCGCCAAGATCAGACCATCCCTGACCCCTGACTCCCCACTTTTGTAGCCAGCTAGGCAGTCTGGTCAAACATAGCTGTGGTTGAGCTGAGAAAGTTGACAAGCTACTTTCCATGCGCTTACCTCAACATCAAACATCCTAGAGAGCAAATGAAAACATGTTGTCCCCAAGAAGCACAAGGGCCAGGTTTTGCTCACAATGTGTGACAAATGTTGTCATCAATAGTTCACGCTCATGCCTCTTTCACTGCGAGCTGCTCAGTTCCCGTCGCAAGCCAAGTCTGTGATGGAGAAAACTCAATGGATAGAACGCCTCCAGACGAAGGGAAAGGACAACAGCGCAGGGCGTGATCTTCTGACAGTTCTAGAAATCCTTCGTTGCCATAGCACGCCGGCCCCTCTCTCCATCATGGCTCATGGCTGCGTCAAGGAGCGCGAGATCGCTGAGTAGAAGCGCGCGACGGTCCGAGGTCTCCTCGAAGCACTCAAAAGCGACTGCCAGCGGTTCCATATCAACATGTTTCTTCTCTTTCTAAGAGAAAAGAAGAGGAAAAGGCATGAAGATGCAGGTCCCTCACCTTCATCGATAAATTGAAGCTGCGCAAAGGCTTCTCCTGCTTCAGGTGACGCATACAGTCATACAGCGAACAGAAGACACCCTGCGCTGGCAACCTGAGATAAATGTGCTCAAGAAAATCATAGGCTCACAGACTGGTTCCAAACTGCAGATAGAGAAACCATCCAAACAGGAAGTACGGATCGAAGGCCAGTAAGCCAAAGCTGTTGCCAAATCTGCATGTCTTTTTTCTGAATGATCAATGAATCAAGCTGCCGCCAGCAAGTTCGGGCAAATCACAGCAAATGGGGTCTCTGTAGCCTATAGCTGAGCTTCCAATGTCTGCCTCTGCAAGTGCCGGCAGGAGCCCAAAGCATACATAGCTGAGCAAAGCCATCTGCCAAGTATTCATAGACACTTAAAGTCAGCCAAGTAAGGTTGGACTGACTTTCGCTTCATGCTACTACAAAAGCAAATGGAGCCGACTCCCCACCACGGAATCTGACATGCCACTTCCTCATACTGCAAGTATTTACGCATAGCGCAAACCGCATACAGCTGCATGCCGCTCTGTAGTACAATGTACAACTCCCCATGCGCAGTGGGGAGACGTGTGGTTTCAGATCTAGTAAACGTCTTAGTTAACATATGTTATATAAATTGTAAAACGTTGTAACGTTGTTGCTCTGGGATTCCCGTCCTGGCTCCATCAACGGCCTCATCGACGCGTTGACAAAGAATCCCAGCTTTGCGCCATGAAGCGCGATGAATCCGCTGCTCAGCGAAGCGGTGAGGACCCCCAAGTGGATCAACTTGGGCTCTAGGACGCTACTAGGAGCAAAGGGCATCACTACTAGGAGCAAGAACGTTACTAGGGGCTCCTGGCCTTACTACTAGGAGCAAGGATGCTACTAGGAGCTTGTGTTGTGCGGCTCTCAGACATTTCTTGGCTTCGCTGGCTTCGCCAAAGACGTCCCTAGTTCTTGTCACATGCACTTCTTCGAGTTCCATCTTTGAGCAAAAGCAAAAGCTTCAGGCCGGCACTCTAGAAGATACTACCATCAGTGCGTTGGAATACATGGTTTCCAGGGCACAAATGCGCCAATCATACAGATCTATATATATTATATATATGTGATGATATTATATATTCATACATGTATGATATATGATATTATATATTCATACATGTATGACTATATATTCTTAAAAAGTCTATTGACTCGATGGCTCTGCGCACGACGCATGTCAACGACAAATGCAAATGATTGAATCGCCTCAAAGGCCTCTCCTTCCTCTATCCTTCGAACTTCTTGGCTGCCCTGGAGGCGTTCACCGATGCTCTGCATGTCCCCAATGCTTCCAAAAATCTGGTTTCTCTGTGAACACCAGGCAGCCACGCGGAGGCAAACTTGCTTTCAAGCAGGACGCTTTCAGTGCAAACGTAGTGCCTTGGGCCAAGAGTGTGAACAATCAGCTCATAGCTCCCGTCTGCCATTAAGGACCCATTCTGCTTTCTGGTTTCGCCGTGTGACCTATCCGACTCCTCAGTGTAAGAAGTTCCTTGATTTCCTCAGCGCTCTTCGGATGCACCACAGCGGCGTAGCGAACCCACGCAGCACATGGCCAATGCATGGCTAACGCAGCACATGTGAGCAACAAACCCTCTTAGTCTCCTAAATCCTGAGGTGATAATCTGCTGACCAGCTTCCTTTGACGGTTACCCAGCCTTCCTTCCCGTCTCTCTTGGCCTAGGTCATGGGTGTGCTCTTTGATCGAAAGTCCACCAGGTCTGCCAATCCCTAAGAGCCCAGCCATTACTTTGACGCGGCTGAGACTTCTGGCGGAGTCCTCATTGGGGCCCTCCAAGATGTCTAGTGCCTCTCCAACCTCAGAATAGCTTGACACTCACACGTGGTACACGCGTTCATCAAGAAGCTGAGACCCAAACATCAAGCTTTCGTAAAGCCTTTCGTGAGCAATTAAAAGAAACGTCCCTCTGATCAGTTTCACGGTGTCTTTTTCGTCGTCTGACTTTGGTTGGATTCGTGTTGGATTCCGACGACTGGCCGTGCCTTCCCGTTGGCAATGTCAAAGGTGGTCGTCAGGGCGATGCTCTGTTTACACACCAGAAGTTTCACGAGCTTGAAGCATTCCTGTTTTCGGCAAATCGAACGAGCGAAAGAACAAATACCGATGAGTGAGACTAAGACTTCCTTCCTTCTGACCGATTCTAACCCGTCTTTTTGCTCTTGTCTTGGCCTGTAAGATACCTGCCACTGGAAAAATCAATGCTTGCAATCGTATTTTGCAGTACTGGACATACAGTACATCTGCAAATCTGATTTTACATGTCTATAAAACATATAAAAATTTATATAGATATGATTATACTATATTCATATATGCCTGTGGTAAGGAACAAAAACCAAGTGTATAACTTCCGATAATCTCATGTGACTTGGCTTCGCTGGCACGAAACCTCCAAGGGTGCCCCAAACCACCAGCTGGCCCGTCCTTGCCGGAGGAATCTTTGAAGGTCACCCAGCCTCATGCAAGGACCCAAACGCTGCTGGATGCACCGGGTCGTGTCATCCACTGTGGCATTGGACCACTTTCAGCCATGGCCCTGATCTGTGTTCGGAGCAGAAAGCCTTCAGCCCCTCAATTTTAGGATCCCTCATGCCCATACTGAGGCCCTGTCCAGACTTGCCATCCTGCAACTAGGTGCAACGAGGTGCGCAAAAACACAAACCATAGTTCAACAAACAATGTGTTGGGACTTAGGAAGTCCAGGTGTTGTTCATCACTCCATCTGCACGTGATTTCCAGGGAGCAAATTCTGCACAACAAACACGTACAATGATCGAAACAGCAGGCCTTGCTTGCCTTGCCGCGCATCCGCATGACTTCCGGAGGCTCCTCCTGTAGTCCCACTCTCCCCCTCCCCTCTCTCGTTGTTACCCCAAAAAAGAAGGCAAATGGTTCCAATCCAACCATCTTGGTACCCATTCATCTTTGCCAATGCCTCTGCTCACCAAACATTCATTCTACGCCATGCTGCGCATCACTCAGGCCTTCCGAGGTCCCTCCAATAACTCTAAGACTTCGCCCGGCTGCAGCGACTTCAGGGTGTCGCTGTCGGAGTCGAAAGCGCTTTGCAATGGAGACCTGAGGGGCGTCTTTTCGGCAGGAAAACCAAACGAAAACAAGAATCCAAGCGAACCTTTTCAGGGGCCGAAACCGAACGGCCTTCCACCATGAAATTCAGAACCAAGTTGCTCATCTTCACAGCAGTAGTAGGGTTTTCGACAGCGTTCCAGAAAGTTGCTGCCGGCATTGCCCTGTGACGTGACCCAGCCCTCCTGGGCAAATCTTGCAGCAGACTAGATCTCCAATGCTAAGTGCGCAAAGAATAAACTTCACCAGATTGCACATGCTCCGGTTTGCTTCAATGGTGGGAAAGTTTCGACCAAAGAACTGAAGCACCCTCACAGCACCCTCCATGCTCCCCACTCAGTCACATGGTGCCATTCAGTCTTCCATATCTTACAAGCTATGCCCAAAAGAATCGAGTAGGTTGGAGGCCATTGCTATTAGGTTCCTTTTCCAAAAGAATCGACCGATTTCCCTTGAGGACTATCACTCCTTGAGGTCCACGGTAGCTCTGCACCGCAAGCGTGACAGGCCAGTGGAAGAATCAACACGGCCCACTTCGAGCACCTCAAGGACCTGAGAAGCCGTTCGGAACATGGGGCATAACGGCTTAGGTGGAGAAATAGTTATACCGTTATGACTAGGAAACATGGGCATAAGTGGGGTATGAAACCAAGGAACATGGGCATAAGTTTTGAAAAATAAAGAGACTACATACATAGAGCCCTTCCTGGAAGGAGCATTTATAACTTCAACTGTTGGCGGCCACAATGAACAACTCAACCCTGAAAGGCGATTTAGCAAACACTTTCAGAATTGAGGGTGATAGCTGGACTAGAATTGGGATGGAGAAGGGGATCAACTACGATAAGTAAAGAGGACCTGCGCCACCGGCACCGTTTGCCATGGGCCAGAATGCATCGCAGTCACATCACATCACATCACATCACATCCTACCAGTACCACCGCAACGCTCCTGTCAAACAACACCATCGGCCTCCCAAAGTCGCCAAACAGAGCTGTTGATGGACCAAAGCCCAGTTTAGCGTACAAATCTATTGGTCAAACCCTCATGTCACACGCCAGGCCTCGCCCTTCAGCAGCTTTCGGACGGTTTTGCCGTCTTTGACTTCAAGCGCTGAAGTGAGTGCCACCCTCGGCGAGGAAACCATGGATTGATTCCATGATATGCCAAAAATTTAGCATTGCTTACAGACAAGACAATCTAGACTACAGGTAGTGGAGGATTTGCCACTCCATTGCGGCTTTTGTAGAAATCGGTGCGACCAAGTTTCTCTTTCACACACTTCTGAAACTCCTCCCAGTGCATATGATGCTCAAAAACTTACAGTAAAAGCACACTGCACACCATTGACTTTCCAGACTTGGAAGCTGCGAAAGGGGTTTGCCCAAAATAGCTTTGCTCATTGTTCTTTCATGAAACAGTCACCTCGCTTTCCTGCTTTGCTCTCGTTCTGAGGCCCACGTCTCCTGCGCCAGCTCCAAGACGGCTAGCTTCGACAGCCCGGAGGCAAAGCGGTCCAGGGCCACATCCAGCTGGCTTGCCTGGGTACTCAAGAAAAGACCCAGCGACCGTTTCGCCAACACGGCATGACATGACGACATGACACCACAAATGCCTTGAGCGGCGAGTCAGGAATTCGTTCCACAAATTCTTTCCTTGGTGAAGGACGTGGAAAGAAGACGTGCCTGTTTGCTCTCCACACAATCGTTGCTGGGATGTCAAACACAAGCGTAAAGGCGTAAAGAGGACACTTGCTATTTGGTGCAAAAAAACCTTGGCTTTGTTGGATATGTGGGAGTCAAAGCCCTTTGAAGATCGAGTATCAACGCGGGCTGTTTGATCTCTTCCTCTCCTTTGCTCAGCTGCTTGAAGAGCTCATCAGCCTTCAAGCCCTGCAGTCAATGATGACAGGTCACTGGTGATTGGTCTGATCCAGCAGGTCGAAACAGCGGTTGCTTTACTGTCGCCATTTTGAATGTGTGCTCATGAGTTCAAGGAATCAAGAGACGGATCTCCTGCCTGCTGTCTGACATGAGTTCTCAATGCGCTCAAGAGCGCATCTTCCTTGCTGTGAAGTTCTCAAGCACACTGAACTTGCAGTGCGAAATACAACAAAATCATCCAGAATGGAAGAAGTACGCCAAGGGTGGGTCTGCTTTCACTGACATCTCTTCCCGGGCACTCTTGAGACCCTGCAGAAGTTTTTTGCATTTGTTCTCCATGGCTCCGACCTGGCGACAGCGGCGACAGCGGCGACAGCGGTCGGCGACAGCGGTGCGAAGGATCGAACATCCTACGGTCTTCAGCGCCGCAAAGGATCGCGCACCGAGAAGACCAAGCGCGATTTCAACCCATCAGCAAGAGAAAATCAACTTCGGCAAAACAAGAAATCACCGCAAAGGGCCAGAATATTGCCATCAGGAGTCGTTTCACAGGCCAGTTGGCGACTTACCTGTTGAAACAGCCGTCAAGTCGGGTGGCAATGCCTTGACTTTCAGCTTGACCAGGCTATTCTTTGCCTCGCTCATAGGTCCTTTGGCCATTTGGCCTTGGCAAATGGAAAGGCAGCTAAGCTGCTTGGTGCCAAAGCACCAAGAAGATCAACGAAGAATCGAAGGTGGCAGATGATGGGAAGGTGGCAAAAGCAGGATGGGCCGAAAGCAACCCACCCAATGCACATGTCTTTTGCTCATCTCTGATATATGCAGTCCATCAGCGCATCAAGATCTGGGTGATTGAAATGTACATATGTTTGGCGATGTTCTAAATATGTCCCAACACCAAGCAGTCTTGGGCGCCAACCCTTCATCGTCTCCATCTTTTCTCTGATCTTTGTAGTGGTGACACTCAAAGACTCCTCTGCGAGTTGCCATGGAATTGCGCTTGAATTACTCCAGTCATGCTCGCGAACGTGATCAATATTGCGACTGGAATCCATTACAAGGCGTCATGTCAATACCACCAACATCATGCAACGAAGGAGCCTTCGTCGTGCCTAAGTTTGTTTGCCAAGATCTCAAACACTGTCCTGCGCAGATATTAAGTCCTTTGAGCAACTGTCGATGTCTGCAATGGAATTCTCCGTGTCACCTCGAAT